CACACACACACACACACTCACGCACGCACACTCACACACACAGTCACTCACACTCTCTCTCTCTCACACACACACACACACACTCACGCACGCACAGGCACACACACACTCTCTCACACACACACTCGCGCACGCACAGGCACACACACTCTCTCTCACACACACACACACTCACACACACAGTCACTCACACTCTCTCTCTCACACACACACTCTCTCTCTCTCACACACACACACACACACACAGTCACTCACACTCTCTCTCTCTCACACACACTCACGCACGCACAGGCACACACACACTCTCTCTCACACACACACTCGCGCACGCACAGGCACACACACTCTCTCTCTCTCACACACACACACACTCACGCACGCACAGGCACACACACTCTCTCTCTCTCTGAGACGTCTTATCTCAATTCTTATTCCAGCAGAGAATCAATCATCTAACCTCTGGATCATAAAGACTAGAATGAGTTCATGATTTCAAATTAACTACACATAAAAAGACAAATAAAGGAAAGGCAAAGAGAAAGTGAGAAATCTTTGGTTTTTATCCTTAAGAGGATTTCTGCTTTGGGAGCCACAAAATAAATCTATGTTTTTTCATATATTTCTATATACTCCTGGAATATAGTGTGTTTTCTGACTAAAGAGGAGAAACGGAGGGCTGCACAAAAAACGCTGATGAATCTTTGGTTTTCAATCCTGCAGAAAATAATAAAGATGAACCTGAAGCTGCTCGCACGCAATCACTGATAAACGCAATATAATAAACCATACAGCGAGAGATGTAAAAATGTAAGCAGAGCAAAGAACAGAAACTGCTGATATTTTCATATAAAAACAATGAGACGCCATCAGTGAAAGGAGTTAAAAAAAGACGTTTGCTTTGGCAAAGAAACAGAAATGATGCTGAAGCGTGTCTGTACACAGTAGTATGAGCAGAGTCTTCAGATGAAGATCCTTGAGCATCAGTGCTGGAGGATTCCTGACCTCTGACCCCTGCTCCGTCAGATCGCCAGGAACACATCTGATAGGACAGACAGACGTGACCGAATCACACAGGTTAAATCAATTCAGTTGAACGAACTCGATTCAGAATCAGTTCACTCAGAGTTGGCTTGCATCTCTCGCCGGAACCCGTTAGTACTCGTTTAAAGCCTTCTAACCGTATTGATAAAGTGATGTCGAGTTCGAGTACTAGTTTAAAAAGTCTTCTGAAAGAACCTCCACCCAACACAACGAAAAAGATCTGAAATGCTTTTGGTTAGAAATCATCTACAATCGGCTCGTTCCACAGAGCCGCGAATAAAAACAACAGAAAGCCTCGTAGAAAGTCAATAGAAACTCTGTTACGCGAAACAATCTCTCGTCAAGAATCTGAAAGAGTCACATTTTTGGTTAATTTAGACGTTAGTTTAAGAAACTGATTAAGTTCCATCCTCCTTGAGCTTGACGATTGTTCGCAAGAGTTTTTGGTGATAGCACAGAATTGGGGTGGAGCCACACGCTCACTGCGCCTTCGAGGCCACACCCACACTCTTGGTCGTCGTGGCGACGTCACTGGTCAGCTGCAGGTTGAGAGCTCCGCCTCCGGCCCCGCCCGCCGACAGCAGATTGGCCGGCAGCAGAGAGAAGCTGGATGGGTTGAGGAAGAGGGGCGTGGTCACCAGGCTGGGGGCGGGGTTTCCCGCGCTAGTGTTGGCGAATAGCAGGTTTCCGTCGATGGAGGTCAGAGGAACAGCGCCGCCAGACGCCAGAGCTGATAAACACAAACACCACAAACATATTCATACAGCAAAATCATGACTTTCGTGTTTATAACTCCTCCATATCCTCATGTAGGCCTGGTCGATAAAATCGGTATTTAGTAACGATAAAAGATGTTTGCTGAAATGAGTGCTGTGTTTGCCTGTGATGAGGAGAATGTGAGTAACAAAAAAAATATTAGTCGAATTTGAAATAAAAATTTGCTTTTGAACTAGTGCTGTCAAACGATTAATCGCGATTAATCGCATCCAAAATAAACGTTTTTGTTTACATAATATATATGTGCGTACTGTGTATATTTATTACGTATATATAAATAGACACACATGCATGTATATATTTAAGAAAACGATGTTATGTTTATATATTAAATATATTTATATATATAAAATTTATACGTATAAATACATGTAAATATTTTCAAAATATATACTGTGTGTCTGTGTAATTATATTTGATAAATATACAGAGTACACACACATATATTATGTAAACAAAAACTTTTATTTTGAATGCGATTAATCGCGATTAATTGTTTGACAGACCTAGTATATATATATTAGGGGTGTAACGACTCACTCGTTTTCTCGACGCATCGATTACAAACCCTGACGATGCAATGCATCGATCCTGAAACATGGATTTTGATCGTGAATCGTCGATTTCGGACAGTAATCGATTTAAAACGCTAAGAATCGAATGAATCGCGATTTCTATAGCGATTCAATGCTTTCAAAATATATACACATTAAATGACTACAAGCAGGAATTAATGGAGAGCTTGAACAGTGTTCGTGCCTCGCATCTCTCCTTCACGCGCTCCAGTATTTATTATATTATATTGAGCAGCTGATGTGTGATGATCTCTGCTTAGTACTCGTGGCCAGTAGTTTTACTTTTGCCGATGGAGAGGAAAAGTTAAATACTATAGCTTGTTATTTTACGAAAATGAGATAAAGAAGTGTTCGCACTGAAAGAGAAGTGATCGCGCGCATTTTTGTTACTTGAAATAAAATAATTGTTAACTGCACTAAAATACAAAAACTTAAATTTTGAATTTGTGGAGGTTTATTCCATTTCACGGCGTCTCATCTGTTTTTAAATGCAATCTGTGTGATCGGCGCGTCGGATCTTTATATTAAGCAATGCATAAATACATGATGCTGTTTTGTTCATAATTGTTTATGCAATTTACAAAATTATATTTGATTTCATTTAGACGTTATGCACTTTTTTACAGACAGTTATTTCATTGCATTGAATAAACAATTGAACGCGCTGCATTATTTTGCTCCTGTTGCTTCGGGAAGCAAGCAAAACGTTTCCTTAACACTTCTGCACATTAAACATAAGAAAGGAGATATTTGTTTACATTTTATTTGGTGTTTGACTGTTAAAACCAAAAAAGTATTTGTCGTTAGTCTTAATAAATTGGTTAAATTAAAAATAAAGTGGTTAAATTTAAACCTTTTTTCTATTGCTCTTTGTTTTCAACAGGTTATAAAAAATGTGAGTAATTTTTGAGACCGAATGAGATGAAGCAGTAGTTACCCTGGATGGTGGCCAGCAGGTTGTTGTTCATCAGCGCAGGAGCCAAACTCAGCAGCGCCCCGCTGCACAAACACAAGAACCAGCTCGTTAACACCTCGTTAAGTTTGACTTCGATACGATACCTGACTGCAATGTCATGATACTACTACTGAACCCACACTACGACAAAAACACAGAACAACAGGAAAACTCACTTTGTTATTAATGATAAAAACATGAATGCAAGTAACAAAGTAAAGGGCAAATATAATAAAGACTTTGTTTTATTTTTTCCCAAATTCCATTTTTCTAGACTATTTTAATTGTTACATTAAAAAATATAAATCAAAAAGCATGTCTAATTAATTGAAATCATGAAACTTTCACAATTTAACAGCAATTTTTTAAAAGTTTAACAAAAGTAAAAAAATTTCAAGGCCCCGTGAAATAGGTTTTATTATTTTTTCTCAAATTCAGTTTTATTTTCCTGTAAATCTGTTTTTCATTAATGTTCTGGGCTCCATTTTAATAATTTCATTACATTTTAATAATCTATTTTGTTTGTTTATATTATTTATGTTACAATTTTCTGGTAAATAAATATTTAGTCTGGTAAATATTCCTTAAATATTTTTATTATTAGTAGTAGTACTATCATTACATTAAGTAATATATTTCTGTTAAGTTAAACCAAACTTTTATTTTGACGAGCTGCTGCGGAGACCTTTAATTAAGTTTGTGTGAATATGATATGACTAGTATAGTCTAGAATAGTTTTCTCGGTTCTAGAGATTATATTTATGTGTTCATGTAACACCGTGAACATCATGTGTTTAAATATGCAAATAAGGCATTGTCTAATTACATAGGCACTCATTTGCATATAGTTCCAGCACATAAATCTGAAGACTGGATAAATTCAGGTTCATTATCCTGGTTTGGTTTTGTCGTCATATTAGAGCTCAAGGTTTTTCCAGAGGGGTTTCTGGATTTCAGAAAATACCTTCAACAGCCAGAAAACAAACACATTTTCACCATGTTTTTAGGAGTAAAATGTCGTATAAATCAGTGTGAATGAAATGCGAACAAACCTTCAGAATATAGAGAGGAATAAATCTGTATTAAAATATATTGTGTATATAACATAAATGTGTATTCTGAATGTTTTCCTTCCTCTAGTCTGAAAGAAATCATGAAATAATTAAAATGCAAATTACATAAAGAGTCAGAAAATTACATTACAAATAAAAATCTTTGTAATATAAAATAAGTATTAAAATATATGTATTTTGGCTGTTTTCTTTCCTCTGGTTTATTTCTATCCCATAATACCCCACTCGCTCACCCTTGCGTCAGCTGCGACGGAGTTATGATCGCCGGGTTCAAACCCGCGAAGGCCGTCAGATTAGCTCCGCCCAGTCCTGGGCCCGTCACCAGCAGCTGCCCCGCCCCCTGCGTGACCGTCGTCGCCGTGGAAACCGCCTGCGCCGCGGAGGCCACTTCCTGTTTGAAAGCGGTGGCGGATGGGCTGAGCGAGGGTGATGTCATGATCGGAGCGGGCGTGGCCACAGCGGGCGCCATGGAGATGACGGAGGGCGTGTTCGACATCACCTGACCCAGAGCTCCGCCTACAGCACCGAGATATAGAGAGAGCGTCACATGACCCACGAGCTCACGCTAAATATGGAGGAAGATGGAGCTGTGACTGCAGGAGAGACGCACCGCTGAACGTCAGGTTAGAGATGCTGCCGCTGCTCAGAGAAACCACAGGACTGACCGTCAGTGTGCTCGTGCCGCTGGACACCTGAACACAGCCAATCACTCGTCAATAATCAATAATCACTCAATAATAATCAATAACACTGCACACACAGAAACTCTCACAGATCACAGGAAACATTCACACAAACACTTCAGCAGTTTATGCAGCATTTGTGGAATAAATATATTTAAAAAAATATTACTTTATTATTATAATATAAAATATTACATATTATATCAATATGATAAAATAATACTAATTATTACTACTTTTATTATGAGTATTGTTACTAAATTAAACTATTAAACAATATAATAGTAATATTTCTTATTTTGTTTAGTAGTTTTATTTAGTAGTAATAATAATCACAATAAAAAGCAATAATTATTATTTTGTCATACTGATTTTTATCAGTATTTCATATTTTTATAATAATGAGTATTACTAAAAATTATTTAACAAAACAGCAAATATTTCTATTTTATTATTTCACTGTATAATATAAAAAGTCACATATATATATATATACATATATACATACACACATACTACAAAAATTTACTATTTTTATTATAAATATTATAACTGAATGAAACTTAAATTACTTATATTATTTCACTGTAAATTAAAAATGGTTTAAGAAATATAAAATAATACTAATACTTCATACTTTTGTAACCCTAACACTTAAGGCGGTCTTAAACCGTGATAATGATTTGCTAATGGCCCTGATGCAGACAGTGATGTGGTTTTCTAAGGGTTAGTCTGATCTGGATCTGGAGCGACGCACCGCGGCCGAGGCGCTGCTGTAGATGGTTCTGAGGGCCGATCCGGGCGAGCCGCCGCTGCTGGGAGGATTGATCCGCTTCTCCTTCTGTCTGCGGTTACAGAACCAGACGCGCACCACCTCCTTCTCCATGTGCAGCTGATCCGCGATCAGTGTGATCTCCTCCGACGACGGCTTCGGACTCTGCTGCAGATCACACAATAACACTAAACATCACTCGCCAGCCCAGAAGAGCTGCCAGATACCACCGTGAGCTCTGCTGCCCTCTAGTGCTCACCTCCAGGAAGCTCTTCTCTAAGGCCAGACGGATGCTGGTCTCGATGCTGGTGCGCTTCTTGCGCCGGCGGTTCAGACTCTCACAGAGACCCGGAGACATCTCGCTCGCACTCGACACCACGCAGTCTGCAGACATGTGCTCTGAGAAAACACACATCCACCGCTTCATATTAGAAGTGCTCATTAAAGAATAATATTTCCAGTGTCCTTTCTAACTTTATAATAGCATTTTTAACCTTATTAGATAAATGCATCATCTTTTATGTCACATTCTCAAATTTAATCAATAAATTAATTCAGAGTATTAAGACACTTTAGAACAATTTAAATCCGTGTCATTTCTTGCAGCACAAAAGCTGCATTTAGATGTATTTAAACTGTTTGCAGCTCAGAAAACATTTACATATGCATAAATCATCTTATAAGCAGGATTATTATAGTGAACTTAAACTAAAGCTCAAACCATAAAAAATTCATTACTTGAAATAAAATAAATGTTAATGATTATACACACGCTCACACACTCACTCACTCACTCGCTTTCTCGCACTCACACTCACTCACTCACTCACACACTCACACACACACACTCACTCACACACTCACTCACTCACACTCACACACTCTCACACACACACTCACGCTCGCTCACACAAAAAACTTCATTCTGTGTGATTTATTAGCTTGTTTACCCGTGGGGACCTCAATTTCCCTCCCCACCGTGACACGAGTCCCCATGAGTCTGTGTGTAGTCAGGTTTAAGTCCCCACCAGGATATATAAACCTGTACACACACACACACACACTCACACACACACACACACACACTCTCACACACACACACACACACACCTCAGCTTGTTGCCAAAGCAACATTTTCTATTTTAATTTAGTTTAACTTTATGTACTAAAATAAACAAAAACTAAAACAGAAATATTTATTAGCAACTACATAGATGTTTTTTTAAATCAAAAACTACTAAAAATGACAAAAAGACACAAATTACTAAAGCTTTATTGAAAAAATAAAAACGGAAAATATTAAATAAAAACAAATTCATAATATTAATAAACCTTATATAGTATCTATAGGGCAGGACACCGGCAAAGGGTAAGTATCGCTTTTTATGTCTCCTCTTTCCTATTACTTGTTTCACTTCTGTTTCAGTTATTTATAACCGTTTCTTACTATGTGTCAGTAAGTTGTTGTTATTTTAGCATGTGTGTTTGGCTCCGTGTTATTT